GGAACAGTTTCCTTACTGCAGATGAGTTTCACAACTTCCTCTAAACCTTTCTGATTCCCTTCTGTACTGAGAGTTCTTCCATTTAATTCCCATCCAACTGTGCTAGACTGTTTCCAGTCTCTGAAAAGCCCAGCTCAGAGCTGACTTCACTTCTTGTCTGCCACACACACAGCTATAGGAACTGAGTTCTCAGAAGCCTGATTCATATGCAACAATATTAAATATAGTCAAGTCCTTCAGTCCACAGACCTGACAAGGAAAAGAGGGCTTAGTATCATCATGGCTGCTTAATCAAGCTTGTTGCAAACACCTGACAAACATTGCTGGAAGCTCAATTAATTACCCAAGAGAAGGACTGTCCTGCTCTAGAGATAGTGTTAATATTGCTTGAAGTGTGACCTAAGTGAACCCCCTGTTGCATATTACCTATATCCTGGGACAAAAGTCCAGCTAGTCTCTGAATGGGCACCCTGCCGGCCGAACAGATGGATATGAACGTGGGCAGCCAGCAGTTTGCGTATGTGTATTCAGTGTAGACGCTGGGAGCACAATTAATAATGGGAATGAATAATGTCCCTTCACACTGAGCTTCCTAAATTACGCTTTGTGGGTGCATGAGTTTAGGAAATCTGTATTTAAAAAAGGCAAAATCACATCAACAAAAAGTGACTAAGATGATCACATGCACAAAACCTGACCTGTCTGTCTCTCTCATACCTACAAAGACACCTTTAACAAGGAATAGCAAGGAACTCTTCCTGGAGATAGGGCTTTTGTCTTTTCAGTTAATGATCTTGCCTATGTTTGCCATGGGGTAGATGCTGGTCAACACCTGTGCTATTCAGGGTTCAGAGAAGAGTGAAGAGTTTGCCCTTCCTGCACAGTCCAGGAGAACGTGGGTTCCTGCTCAGGGAAATGCAAAGGCTGCTCCTGACATCCTGATCCCTCCAGTGACACAGTGTTGATTTCCATGTGCACTGGGAAACTCTGGAAGGCATGTTTGCCTCCAGGGAAGGAATGCCTTCACTCAGTGCTGTGAGGGGAAAAAGGCTATCTATTCAAGGGAATCGCTCAGACCCTGTGTTTTCCCTTCTGCTAACCATCTTTATCAGATTTCTGATCATGAGAGTCACATCCGAGTTCCTCTGGAAGGGGAAGTAAGAGAAATCACAGCAGATGGGCAAACAGGGATGCGTGGAGAAGGCTGCAGCTGAAGAAATCAGCTGCCCTGCTTCCAGCAGTACCGCCTGCTGGCAGATATGAGATGGACGGGGCTATGGGTCTCTTCTCCACTCTGAGACTCTTTGGTGGGATCATGCAGCAGCTGGGCCTTCACCAAGCACGAGGCTACTCTTCCCCTGTGCTCCTGCAAAGATATTCCTAGAGCTTCTTCCTCCCCAGTGTTTAGGACAATGTGCAATCCTGAGTCTACGTTTTGGCTAAGCAAACACACATAAATGCAGAAAATTAGGTTCCACCTGCACTGGGCCCCGTGGAATTTTCCAGCAAACCTGGCCTGAGTTTTGTGTTTTTAACAAACCAAAATAGTTTTTAATCCAGCTTCAAGCTTCATTGCAAATGTTTCTTACAGCCCTCTTTAGCAGGAATAATTACTGTCCGTATTTATCGGGGAGATTATACAAATCCTCTAGTAAGTAAATTGTAGGATTAAGAGGAAGGTTAATGTGCTAGATTAAACTGACACATTTATTTACTCCCTCCCAGAAGGAAAGACTAAAGGACAGTGACCTATTACGTGTATTAATGCAACATTTAACCCTGCCTCAACTCCAGCGCTTATCTCTGCAAGTACCAAGTCTCAGGCTGGCAGTGCAATCCTGCATACACAGAAGTTCTGTTTGTCTCAAATCTTCTATCTGTTCAGCCCCCACTTTTTTAGACTGCAATACGTTGTATTTTTGCAGTGCCTTCCCTCCGAGAGTTTCAAAGTGTTCGCAAGGAATGATGCCTGCAGTCATCCCACATAAAGCTTTACTATCCTCGTTTTACGAATATGGACTCTAAAATGGAGATTAAGGGCAATTTTTTCTGTGACTTCTCTGGCTGAAATGGACAATTTGTGCATGCACTGGCATTACTGGGTTCTTTGCGACTCCTTAAAAAGAGTGACTTTTCTGTTGTAAAACCTGCAAACCCAGCTACGACAATAACAAACCGCATGTATTTCAGAGCAAAGAGACGCTTATCTGGATTTCCTGCTGCTTTGGGATACTGACACTGGAATTTTGGGTATGGTGCCTGAGGGCCAATGCTGCAGTAGAGGACAGTGATGAAAAGACAGATCTTTCTTACCTTCTGTTAAACCTATCGCATCAATACATGTATGCCTGGTTAGTGGCAGGGCTGTTTTGCTTTTCAGGTATGTTTTTTCTTCTCATCAGCTTTCCTGTATTTCATTCTAGACCAGTAAGAAAACTCTGTCTAACAGACTCTGTCTAACAGCCTTGCCCAAATATAGCTGTGAGCCTGAGTAGCACATACTGCACAGACTTGCCCAAGCAGATCATTTTCTATACATTAATGCTATAGATTGTAAGTGTTTCCTGAGGGGGAGACTTCTTATACCATCCTGCATATGCAACATCTAACTAGCCAAAGAAAGAGAGAGAGAGAGAGAGAGAAAGATAAAAGAAACAGAGAAGCAACTTTCCTATAGCCACAAAGAAATGCATGCAGCAGAAAGAGGTCTCTAGAAAACCAACCTCCAGCGCCTACACTCCTAGTCTTAAGTGTTGTGCTCCTCAAGAGTGGGGGTGTGCTGAACTAGGCAACACTTTCTGACATACAATGTCTTTCCTCCCCCCAACCCTAGTGTCCTGCTTTCTCCACTCTGGTGATCCTCCCAGGGTGATCCGAAAAAGCCCCTCCATGCAGATGCCTCCCGAGTTTGCACAGGAAGCTGGAAGCAGAGCTGGGGTTTACCTCGAATCTAGTGACATGCCCATATGTCTGCTCTCCCCCACATGCTGGCCCCTACAGGTTTCTATATTTATCTATTCTTACTTTAGGAGGCCTGCAGGAGAAACGTATAGATTACAGATGTGGCGCTCCTTGTTTTAGCTAAGGTTTCCAATAGGGATAGTTGTTTTGGGATGGAATCCCAGCTGAGAGTCGTTTGCTGTTTGACTGCCAAACAGGGCTGCGAGTATTGCCAACGCTCTGCTTGACTTAGATTGAACAGTTCACAGGCTCTAAGGAAGGGAAGGAAAATTCCATCATGAAAAAGCTGATTTAAAGTGCTGTATCCCACAGCGACAGTAAAGAGTATTTGCTAATACTAATGCAGCTTTCAGAAAGAGACTTTAAGTTCAACTTTCAAAACGTGTTTCTGCTTGGGAGAGGGCCCAAATTAAAACCCTCAATCAATTCAAAACTTAGCAAGTTTTGGACAGAGAACCAATTCTGATTTTGCAGCTGACACCACTTTTGCAAAGTGTGACTGGTTGGAGAGAGGAGGAGGAGTAAGAGATTCTGGTGACACATCCACCTCCTCTTCTCGACATATAGAGAGCACCAAGCAAGGCACAGCTGCAAGCATGCCTGTCCCTCAGTTGTCAGTGGGATTTTGCTTGTGTCAGAAGTGGATATGCAGGAGGAAGACAGGAAGCGACCCTGAAAAATGTAAAACTTTATTCACAGCTTTACTTGTAAGCAACATTTACATGGGAATCTTTGATGCCTAGCACATGTACAAAACTACTTTCCTCCACTGATGGGCAATTTTAGCAGCTAATAGAAAATGTAGAGATAGCCAGAACAAACAGATGGCTAAAAAAGAACAAAAAAAGGGCAAAGAACTATGATGAAAATATCTATCCGAAAACCCAATCAGATAAAGATCATTCTCGAGGTCCAATATAAACTGCTTTCCATCAAAGGACGCTTAAAAAAAAAAAAAAAAAAGCAGATAATTCTATCTGGAGATTTTGATTCTACAGAAGAATGATCTTAGCTTGTGGGGGGTAAATAGTCATAGTGTTTTTGTGCGTTTACATTTGATAACTCCCAGTAGAGATAAACATATTTAATGCTTGAAATGTAACTTAACACTGGACATATCAAACACATTGCAAAAGATTTATCAGAAAAAGCATTAAAGACTATTATTAGCCCCAGCTGCAAATATCCATAATGGTGGAATGACTGTGAGTGAGTTAACTGCCTTCAAAATGGTAGGTCTTATTAAAAGCCCCTTTCGGTGGATGTCTTTCTATTGCTTTCAGCAGCCTTTGGGTCAGGCCATCTTTTATTAGAAAGAAATTTAGTATCAGTTAATAGTGTGAGGAAGGACCGAAAAGCCAGACACCAAAATTTCCTTTGCTTTATCATGACAGGCCAGACCACTTGATGTAACCAGCAACCAAGATCTTGACCAAAATAACCTGAACATCAGCTGTAGAGAAATACCTTTGGTAAAAGATCAAACCGAACGGGTCAGAATTTCAGAAGTAGAATTGGGGCTTATTCCAGTTCCCACTAAAATAAGCTGAAAATTTTCTGCTTAGTTTAAAAAGCCCTGGCACTGCACTAGCTAATCCTTCTCTATGAAAAGTGATAGAAATGTTGCTACTGACTTCAGTTAGGGTAGAATTAAAGCTGTGTGACTTGGTATAATTACACAAATAGGCATTTCAAAAGGAAGCCAGGATTAGATAGCTGCATGAGGTACATCTGTTTTTAAAGAGGAAGAAGGAAAACCTATGTATAGTGGAGAAGAATTACGAGTCTTTTAGGGTTTCTGATACAGAAATCACTAATATAGCTGTCATTTAGCACATTGCCTTTCATGTGATTAAGTCAGACTGATATCATTGAAGATACATCCAGTTTTTTTTTTTTTTTTTTTTTGCTGGAGCTAAGCTAATTGATACAGGAAATAAGGTGACTAATAGAAACAAGGCAGGAGGACCACCAGAGATAAATCCAATATTGGCACTTGACAGGATGTGGCCAGTCAGTCATTATATCAGTCAGCTTACCTCTGTGTTGCATCCTTCCATAGTAAGACTTAAGTAAGTAGATTTAGATTTTCCAGTATCCCTAAAAAGCAGGAAAATCAAATGACAGATTAGGCCCAAGTGGCCTATCAATTTATACACAAACACATGGCCACCCAGAAAAGCAGAAAATCACAGTAGCAACAGTACATCAGCAACCTGTCCCAGATCGGTTTTGTACAAGAGGAGATTCATGATCAAAGGCAATTTCGAGGCATTCCTCCCTCTCAGCCATCAGTGATTCGGCACAGCTGTTTCAAACTCTGCCCCTCCAGTAAACTGGGGCTGAGAAAAGGAGTCATGACTGTCAATGTTGAATGAGAAAAAGGAAACCCAAAAAAAGAATGACCTGTACGAAACTGTGTTTAAATAAGTAGGAAAGAAAAGACAGCCAGATGGCTCATGAGATAGATGATATTTTAACTCTAGGCTCATCTTTCAAATCCAGCACATGGTGGTGGTAGTTGAAACTTGTTACCAGGGTTTCTCTCTTACACTGAGGCCACTTCCTAGTAACCAGGTGGCCACTCCAGAGGATCATTGCTGCCCCTCATCACTAGCACAGTCTCAAAACAGGAATAGTGGCAAATATTTTCAGAAAACACTAGCTTGATTCTGATACCCTAATTATACTGAACTGCCAAGAAGTTCCCACTAAGTTCAAGAGTAATAAATAGTTCATGCCAGGTAAGTGGAGGAATTTGCCCTACTAACCTTGCTGACCTTTGTAAATAGGCTGAGTAATTCAGAGTTTCGCTCTCTCATTCATACCTAGTACAGATGATTTATTGGGAAGGAAGGATAAAAATTCTGCCTTCCACTGACTGAAGTAACATAAATGGACACATCTAATAGGCATGTTATCGCTCTGCACTGCTTTCCAGGTCTGGTAGAAATGCTTTCATATCTTGTGACAGTTTTGGGTTGATGCTTCACATTCTTGTAAGACGTCAAGTTACATTAGATCAGTAATCTCACGTTATGTAATACGATACAAGACATTGCGACTGAATAAACGCGGTATAGAAATATTTTTAGTTGTTTCTTTTTCTGCAGAACCATTGCCTGACTCTTAGCTTTCTAAAAAAGTACGTGTTGAGAAATTGTTTCTGAAAGGTAGAAAGGAAAGTCAGAAAAACAATTACACAAAAAAGTTGAGAAAGTTCAGTGACTAGTGGAAATATGTAATTAGGGATTTGCAGCCCAGGAAATTTAGCATGCTGGCTTACCATGCTACGCAAAGTATGTATTTTAATTGGTAGCCGAAGTGCATGTATGTAACCCAAACTGTTAAAAGAGCAGCTGCAGTAGTTTATCACACTGATATGCAAGCCACAAATCCTGCCATTGAAATAGGTTATTCATAAACTGCTTCTATGAAATACTGTGTCTGTGAAGTTAGCTGGGCTTTGGGGAAAAAAAGAACATCTGATGTTCTGTTTTTCCTTCTCAGCATTAACCCACTGACATTAAACTGAGATATTTATTTCACTTCCGTTTTTAACATTCGAAGTCTGCTCATAATTCCTATCCATTTATGGTCATGGTGCAGGGATGGTGCTGTAAAAAGGCCATCACCTCACTGAACCTGTCATGGTGCTGAGCATGCTCTGCCATCGCCTTTCAGGAGGAGGCTCAGCGGATCATAGAGGCCCTGACCCTGTTTCGTAGGGCCACAGAATAATTCAGGTTGGAAGGACCCTTAGTCCAACCTCCTGCCCAAAACAGAGACAACCTTGAGGTCAGACCAGGCTGCTCAGGGCTTCATCCAGTTATGTTCTGAAAGCCTCCAAGCATGGAGGTGGCACAACCTCTCTAGGCAGACTGTTCCACTGCTTGATTGACCTCACGGTGAAAAAGTTTGTCCTTAGATCCAGTCTGGACCTCTCTTATTTCAACTTAGTCTGTTTTCTCTCTTTGTCCCCCCCATACACCACTGTGAACAGCCTGGCTCTCTCTTATTTATAACCTCTTCATAGGTACTGGAGGGCCTTCAGTTCCCCTGCAGCTTTCTCTTCTCTGAGCTGAGTGGTTCCAGTTCCAGTTCCCTCAGCCTCTCCTCACAGGGCTAATGAATGCTCCTGCCTCAACCACTTCTGTGGCTCTCTGCTGAACTCTGCAGTTTATCAATGCCTTTCTTCTGCAGGGGAGGCAAAACTGGATACACATTCTAAATGTAGTCCAGCAAATACTGGGTAAAGGAGGATACTAACTTCCCTTGATCCACTGACTATGCTCCTGGTTAGTCCAGGCCAGGGTGCTGTTAGCCTGCATTACTGCCAGGGCACACTGCTGGCTCACGCTCAGCTTGCTGCCAGCCAAGACCCCCCAGGTCTGTTTCTGCACAGCTGCTCCCCAGCTTGCAAGAAGTTCTTCCTTCCCAAGTGCAGGACTTTGCATTTGTCCTTCCCTCATGTGTATCAGCTGTTCCCTCCAGTTTAGCATCATCTACAAACTTCATGAGAATACATTCAATTGCCTCTTCCAGGTCACTGACGAAGATGTTTAACAGGACAGGTCCAAGCGGAGACCTCTGTGGCGCTCCCCTCTTCACTGACCTCCAGGTAGAGTATGACCCATTAGTCACTCCCCTCTGAGCCTGTCCATCCAACAAGTTTTTTTTTTTTTTTTAACCCATCTAGTTGTCTACCCATGCAGACCATAACGTCCTAACTTGCGTACAAGAATAGTCTTGTCTGACTATTCTGAAAGGCCTTGCTAAAGTGACATCCACTGCTCTCCCTCATCCACAAATCCAGTCATTTTAGCAGAGAAATCAGGCAGATCAGTCAAGTACAATTTACCTGTTTGGTACTCTTTCTTCTCACATCTTTTCAAAAAGAAAGGGAATTAAGCATGCTTAGTGTCAAGAAGGAATTCATACCTTCTCACAAAGCTGTGCTTTCACCATCACAGAATTTACAATAGTCAACAATTTACAAGTAAAATATCCTCTCCGAGAGAAGGCCACCGGCAGCAAAGAAATGACTAAAACTCATAAATAAGAATATGGCCTTGACATGCTTAAGAACCAAGGCACCATGGAAATCAGCAGCTACATAAAGACCAATAAATTCAGTGCTAGAGCTGTTTCTGGGGCCTGGAACATGACTGTCTGTACCGTTAGCAGGTTCACTGACACTGGCTGGCCTGTGCCAACTAAAGCTCTTCCAAATAATTGCTGGGCACAACCTGGCAGCTGAAACACCGCAGGGACTGTTCCCAATAGGCAGTTCTCATGCAGATTCCCTGCTTCAGGGACCAAGAATTTACCAATATAAACACGGTCTTTCCATACCAACTGCCCTCAGAGCCCAGGATGTTCCAAGGCACATTTAATCAATTGTTATATACTTAACCTCCACATGTTTTTCTTCAATTCACCTGGTTCTGATGTGACTCCTTCCTCTTCTCATCAATATGTGCCTCTTCCACCTGTAAAGATTTCATAATTGAGAATGAGTTGCATAATATTATATAACTTTTTTTTAAAAGATACATGCTAATACAACCAAACCACATCTTCTCCCATGTGCATTTATGTACCTGAAAGCTACTCTGCAGCTAATTTTCAAAGTAAGCTTATCCAGCAGCTGGTGTGATTCTTGTTTTCTAGTGAGCACGAAGAAGTACGATCATGTAGCATTTCTTCCCTTATCTGAAGAGTATCACTGCACTGATGACACCCACACCCATCCACAGAGTTAAATTCCTCCCTCATATATGAACATGCTACCCTCACTGACACCCCCAAAGTGGTAGAAAGTGTAAACCAACAGGATGAGAGAACTGGATTCTACTGTTCAGAAAAGTAACTTTCTCCAGTCAAGTCAGGGGGATTTTTCAGAGAGACAAGAGGCACCTGACTCCCACTAAGGATTAATCCTCCCTTTAAAGATCAATGAGAATTAGCCATCCAACCACACTTGCAAACTTAGAAAGGGGAAATTTTGAGACAATACTAAGATAAAACTCCAAGTTTAGAAGGTCACCCATCCATTAGCTGCGTTTGCATTTACATATTCACTGGTTCCCACAGCTGACCAGGACATAGTCATATCAGTATCTTCAGCAGAGTGGTGCTGCTTCTCGGGAAGGTAGAAGAGCAGGGAACAGCTTGCAGCTGAAATCTGCCTTTAGGAACAACTGAAGCATCATATCCAAGCTGGTGAGCGAAAGCCACAACGATATCAGAATTTTTGTATTACGTTGCTTTTGTTGCTAGCTAAATGTTTCCACAGATGTGCTGAGCCGTGAAACACATAAACGTGCATTAAGAAAGACATATTTTGTGAGCAAACTTTGTAAATGTAGCACAGATAGGAAAGCATTAGTAATGGGATATGGCTTAAGTGAAAGCATGGTCAGTTTTCTGTGGACAAAACAGGCATTTCACTGAAATACTGGACTTTTGTGTTAAGTGAGTAGCTTTTAATTACAATGAATCTTCTTTGCTGACAGAATTGGTATCAAGACTGAGGAAGAGGAGGAAATTACTAGCTTTCAGTCATAATTTGGTGTGACGCCAGGAGACGTGCAGTGAAGCTGCGGGGTGCAGAGAGCCCCAGGCCACCTGTGTCCAGGAAAGGTCCAGACTGGGAAATAGCAGAAGCGAGTTAGTCTTGTGTTCATTGCAGCTCATACCAGCTTGCTGTACTTATTTTAATTCTCGCTATTCACTCTTTTTGCTGGCCCACCCTACCAAAAGCAGTCAGGATGACAATACAAAGTGCGACAGCACTTCACTCCAGCGTAGATATGCCTTAGGCCTACAAATTGGACTCGGGTGTTATCAGTCAAACACAGATCTCTTAAGTACGTAACACTTACTGCTGTTTATATTCAAGAAGTCCAAATCTGTTTGCCTGTCTCTTCAGCTTACAGTGATGACTCATTGATTATGTCAGTGGAACAGGAGAGGGCTCCACCAGTTCATCAACAACAAGAAAACAGCAACTGGCTACAAAGACATTGCCTGTCCACAATTTTTTGCAACAGATCAGTCACATTTACATCACGGTGCCTGCCTTCATGGGGGAAAACTCAGACAAGGAAGCGTCTTCCAGGTTTTGATCAGACTCCTTGTTGATTCCAGATGTACCAGGACAGCTGGTTTTTGCAACTTTCATGATGGACAAAAATCAGGTGTGCTAAGGGAGGGCTGAGATTTCTCTTGGTTTTGGCCTTGTCCTCCCCTAAAGGGTTCCTCTGACAAGATGCTAGCTTTGTATTAAGATATGTGGTTTTGTACGCAGATAGCAGCGGTTACATCTCCTCCCAGGAAACTAAACACTCCCTAGGGTCTGGGACTCCAGCTTGCAGCTCTGAGAGGGAGAGAACAGCATGAAGCACAAGGGGAAAGTTCATCAGTCGGGCATAAGAGAAGCAAGAAACTATCTCTGCATGAATGCGGGTATAGCTTCTGGATCCCACAATGCAAAAAACCCAGAACAGGAGCAGGATGCTCAACACCTTTTTAACACAACCAGAGCTAATCTTAAACTCCATTCTATGTAGATATCCCCACATACTTAATACAATGGATTCTTGTAAACAGACCATCATTTCTACAATCCCAGGGATGATGTCACCTAGATGTTAATTTTGTTTGCGTTTATATCTGCCACGCATACTTTTGCTGAAGTTCGGGTAGGCACACGCTCTCAGCTGTTCAAAGTGAGCAGATCTTAGTTTCCTTTGGCAAAGTCTAGGCAAAAAAAAGCAAACCTAGGAAAGAACATCTGACTCCGTTCAACAAGTTTTGTGATGGTACTATATAAAATAATTTTTGTGAGTTTTCAAACGTATATATTTATTTACAAATTTAAATATACAAATTTGTACAAAAACATGAGCCAAAAGGGTCTTTGTCTTTCCATGGATTACAAAGGGAGTTTAGATGGTGAGCTCATCTGTCAACATCTATACCATAGATGTCTAAACATGGACAGATGATTGTGTCATTGATTAACTGGTTCTTTCGCTCTGTAGATTTGAGACTAGATGAATAAAGGTTTACCAGGAGGAGTGTGGACTCAGGCAGCAGGGTCTCAGTTGCATCTAGTCAATGGGCAGCTGGAAAACTCTCTTCCTGCTTAGTCAGCAAATAGCCGGGAACTTAGGGGTTGGTTTTGTTGGATACAATATCCTTCACTTTCTATCCTGTTGTGTCGTACTATGATCCTCATTTATAGTCTGCAAATTCTTTCTGTGCTCTGGGTTCTCTGACTTCTAAAAACTGTTGTATAAGTGACTGCTCACAATAAAAGAGCACAAGAAATGAGTGTGAAATAAAGCTCACAGAAGTCAGTGTGCAGATACCAGTCACTTCAAAGGGCTCTGGATTAGACCCTATGCCCTTATTTCTATTCAAAATGAGAACATTAAACTGAAGAGTTTTGTAACAGAGAGAACTTCCTATGCCAACGTAACAAAACAGTGCAGCTTCTAGCATGTGCCTGCTCAGAAAATTAAACTCTCTGTGGCAGTAAATTAACAACTTAGATGCTTGAAGGAGATAAAATTGAACTCACTGCAGAAAACTTCCCAATTGTTTATTAAAAACAAAGAGAGCTGACAAAGTTATTCAGCCCCAATTCACCATTTCTCCAGACCGCTGCACTCTTGTTGCGCCAATGCATTTCCCAGGACTGGCCTTTCCACTGCTCTTTTCTCACGAGGGCACCATTTGTAGTCCATCGCCTTCACGCAACAGCACTACACAGCTGCCCTCAGAACGTCAGATCTTGCAGATCCCGTTTTAAACTCCATTTTGTAAATGACAGCAGCCTCCACGGGGTTTCAATTATTTCAAGACATGAACACCACCAAGTGCTGGGCAATTCTGTGAAGAAAAATAAGCTAGATGCCAGGCTTATTCCATGGTAGTATTAAATAGGGTGGCTCCAACAAAGTCAGTATTTGCTGGCTTTAGGCAATTTCTGAGTAATAGGACTACAAATGAATTGGCAGTATATCTGTGATCTCCGAGTTTTATACTGGCATTATCCAGATATAAACCTACAGGCCTAGATGTGCAAGGAAGTACTTGGAATACATGTGCAAAGGAAACAAGTTAGATCTCACTCATTCACTATTTACCCATCTGGAACAAAATCTCTGAGGACAAGGTGGGCTTTCAGAAGTTTCATCTGGAGGGTCGTTTGAAGTACAAAACTCTAAATATAAAAAAAACCTAGTTTTCCCATTATAAAAATATACCTTCACATATCCTCCCCCTTCTTGAACTCATCTATATAACAGTTTCTACCACATCAGAAAATCATTTTTAAACATTGATTAAAAAGAAAAAAAAGAGGTTTCAACTAATATGGTTCTTCTGGCCACCACAGAAAGAATTCTTTTCCTGTTAAAACTTCCCCCCTCAACCCCAAAACCCACAATGGGATCACTGTATGTTGAATTGTGGTGTAACTTATAAGGCACAGACACAGAAGGCAAAGGAAAAAAAGGGGAGCAAAAAATATTTTCTTTTGAGGAAAGCTGTTTGAAGAAAAGGGCACCATAAAATCATGGGCTCTGCAGCTTAACAAAGATACAGCAACAGCTTTTGCTGCAGTCATCCAAAGGTCTAGGGAGTATGAAGTACCTGAAGGTACGTGTGGACTGCTGGTTTGGTAACACAGTTTACAAGTAAATTTGGTGCTCCTGAAAAAAAATATAGCATAGGAGCTACACGTTACTAGAAAGCCGAAGTTGTTGAAGAACGTATAAAGTTTTGGTATAGATATGCTATATAGCTATGATATAATGGAAAGATATTATTAAATTTGAGATTTAAAAAAAAAATAGAGTTGTGGGATTTTATTTGTTGTCTGCCTTTTTCAGACATTAGAGTTCAAACACCCGACTTTTTTCTGTAGCCAAAAGGGCTAGAATGGTAAGTGATGAAGACTGATCCTGATATCAGAACAGGATTTCACTGGAGATGCAGAAAACCATCGAGCCTAAGATCATCAGGACTGACAATACTGTGAGTGTTTTCGGTTGCTTTATTTCAGCTGTTCATTGTAGGATTTTTATTTTTTACTGTATTTTGTTGAATTAAAAATTATTTTAGCCAGCCTTGATGTCTGTCCTCTAAAAAGTTCCTTGAATGCATATCATTGCTTCCGCGTTTCTGAATTCTTAAGCAAACAGATGGTCTTGCTCTCACTGCATTTTATAGAGTAGGTAGGAGTTCCTCTAACTACTAGTACTAGTCTAGACTTCTTGCACTAGATAACTTAAAAATACAGTGGAAGCTAACCTGCACAGAGAGTTATAACGGAGTCCTATCATTATGTACAGGAAACATGAGGGGGAAAAAGCACACAAATCTGCTTCTCTGCAGTCATAATTTTGTTGAAAGTCAACCAAAGGAACAATTCCAAATTACCATCTATCTTTGTCACTGCCTCCCCTTCAGAAGTAGA